GGGGCGATGCCTGTCTCCCCTGCGCTGCCGGCAGCCCCGTCGGGCAGGGAGGTCTTGCTGGCCTCTTCGGGAGGGTCCCCAGGACCCCGCCCGGTGAGCGGCCGGCCGGCGCCCCTGCCCTGGGATGGAAGAGCAGCGGGGCCCGGGCGAGGCCTTTCCTTGGCTCTCGGCCTGTCCGTGTGACCCGGCGGGGCTGGGTTTTGTAGGCTCATGTTATAAGGCGGCATGGGATGACATTTTGCGTGGAAAACAGGCTTTACGTACTTATCTTAGTTTATCTGGGCTACATTTCTTTTCCTGGAGCTTTGTCTCGGTGAGGGACAGTGAGGTCCAAATCTCTGGGGCCAGCTGCGAGCCCTGTGGAGCTCTGCAGGCGTTTTGCTCCTCCTCAGCCTCTTCCTGGGCTGGACCTATCGCAGGCTGCTTCTTAGTTCGTCTTATCGCAATAAACAAGTAGAGATAGTGTTCCTGTGGCTTAGGTGAATATATTAGGTAAAACGTTTTTTTTTAGAAAACTTTTACAAAATGAGGCTTTATACCTGTTGAAATGTCTAGTGTGATAGGTGTTGCTTACAATGCAAGGAATTTCTTCATTTTCCTTTCTTCTGAATTTAGTAGCTGCTTCTTAATATCCTAACTAGAAGGATTTAAATGGATCTCTTTTAAACCCAAGAGAAAAAATGCCTAGTGTTAAATATCAGAAAATGAATGTTTCAAGTACGGATCAAAGAGAGTACGTTATCCTGTGAAGCTTAATGGAAAAACAGAAGAACCTGCAGATTTCTCGAAAACCCCCTTGTAGTTCAGCCAATGTGACCAGGGATTTTTTTTTTTTTTTTTAGTTTTCATAATTATGACGTGAATGTCAGTATTGATCCAATATTCTGACTTCTACTTTGAGAAAGAAACCTGTTTGTTTATATTAACTTGTAGACAGATATTTTAAACTGATTTTACTTTGCATTCTATTTAAAATTAGAAATATGCAATTTCATTACCTATTTCAAGCTAGCTTTGAGAAACTCATTTGGTATTTATTTGCACTTCCTGACTAAATGGGGGATACTGGTAGCTAAACTGAAGAGGAAGAAAAATATTTGCATAAGCGGTTTTGTTTTAAAATTCTTGAAAAGCCTTAGTTCTAATTTTGCTGAGCACCTGTATAGGCAATGGTGGTTGTTTCCTTGCTACAAGTCGCTTTTCCCAAGCAGTAGTAAATAATGGTTAACTAGACAGACAAGTTTCACTGCTCTTCTGTAGGGAGCAGAGAAACTGATATGCCGGCCTAACTCTACTACTGCTTAGGAGAGCTTGAATTAGGCCCAGAAATTGTTTACAAAAGACAAATAGACAGCATCTGGAGAGAAAAGGATTATTATGTACATTCAGGCAGCTTTATCTTCATGGTTGAGAAGGAACTGTGGGTGAACAGAGGGTAACTACAGCAGAACTGCTGCAGTAGCCTCTTAATAGCTGTCTGTATCTTTATCTCTTGTGGTAGGTATATTGTAGAATTTAGAGAGTTTTTTCTGGTTTGTTTGAAGTATGTTAGCAAATCTTGGTTTAGACCAGTGCCTTCTGAACTTTTAGGCACAAGTAGGATCAGACTGCTATCCACTGGCAAAAGTTCTTGTGAACCACTGTGGAATTAGGTCTAGTCTTTAAATTGTAAAAATTAGTCCAGTTCTGCAAGCCCTATTCAATAGCTTTGACACAACAGTTTAGGAGCTATTAATTTATGTAATTGCTGTATTTATGCAGGAACTTATGACGAAAATTTTCAAAATCTTTTAAGATTCAAACCTTTTATATTCACGTGGCTTGACAGGATCCAAACCATGCTTGCACTGAGTAGTTGTTAGTGGCTTAATGTTTCATGAAGCAAACCTTGACTTCTGTTTTAGGTGTCCACAGCACGGTTGCTGTAATTGCATCTCTCCTGCCAGTCTGGAGAGAGTAATGCAAGTGCAAACAGCCATGGTGGCATTCTGTCCCTGCTAGAATTAGAAGTAGTCCCACTAGACATTTAACACTGTGGCTCCTTGAGTAGCTAAACTGGCCGAAGTCAGTGCTGCCCTGCGCTGCCTTCTTTCTGTGCTAGTGCAAGTGTCAGCCAAAC